TTCTGATTTAGGATATTTTGGAAGAGATTAGACAGATTTCCTTCTGTAGAGGAACTTGCTGCAGTGTGCTGTTGGGTTTATGTCCAACATAGGAATAAAGTGGGAATGCCCAGTGTCCATGTGCCTGTGGTATCTGAGGAAATGCATTCATTAGGCCAAGTGGCACGCTGATTCCTGTTGCTTTTCAGGCTAAGGCAAACTTTCCGGAACAAAAGACCCCGTTTGGCTTCTTCTTTTGATTCTATTCTTGATCTTGAACAAGTTGAATAGTTTCTGTATAAGTTTCTCCACCTATAATATGTATATAGCCATAAACTCTGCCGAGTATCTTTTCTTAAAAAACGTAACAGCCAACAACATTGAATAGTATTTTGTACAGTGTTTGGTTACTTCTTCAATCTCTATTAATTTAATTATAATTAATTATAATGTTATAATAGAGGTGTGTAAGTACTAAGAAGAGCCCTGGTGGCACAATGGTTAAGCACTTGGCTGCTGAACCAAAGGTTGGCAGTTCAAATCCACCAGCTGCTCTGTGGGACAAAAGACCCGGCCATCTGCTGCCATAAAGATTACAGCCTAGGAAACCCTATGAGGCGAGTCTACTCTGACCTGTAGGGTTGCTATGAGTTGGAATTGACTTGATAGCAACTAACAACAACAATAGCAAGAAGTAGTAATGGAACACGGAAGAGGTGAAAATAGTGGAAGGAGAATTTATTCAATTAATGTAAAATAACACTGATAAAGCACAACATCCAAGATAAATTGCACATACATTCTTAGTTGTTTTAGACTTTAGTGTTATTCACAAAAAGAAGAAAACAAATATTTGTGTCAGGCACTGGACGACGAATTTTACACATCTTTAAAAATGGTGTAGGGGCGTCGTTGTCTGACCTCCTCTAACTTCACAAGTGGGATGGAGAATCAAGGTCAACAGCCCAAGGTTGCTTCCTATGAGGCAGAGGTCGGACGTGCCTCCTCTCTCCACCAGCTTTACCAATTCTGACACCAACCGTCCTTCCCACAAGCACTCTACTTCTCTGCTGGGTTCAATCATTCATTGCAATGGCCACACAGAACTTACAGACAATACTCCCAATTATGGGGTTTATTAGGGAAGTAACAGGTTATAATTCAGGTTCAGGAACACTCAGGATACAGTTCATCCGTCAGGACAACCTCTTCTCAGCCTTGCTTGCAGGCATCCCTCTCTCTGGCCCTCCGTCTCTGCCCTGCTCAGGCAAAAGTTACAAAGTGCTTTTAACTCTGCCAATAAGTGCCCAGAGGCACCTCACTCTGCCAGTAAGCCATGGCCCAAAGGCATTCGGCCCCCAACTCCGTGGGCTGGGAAGCCTATTGCACAGTCTCCTGTCGGTCTCTCCTGCTGCCGTTTCTCTGCCACTGCTTCTCGCTGTCTTCAGTGTTACAGCTCTCTTTGTCTCCTGGGTCTAGGAGGGTCTAAGCCGAGGCCCAAAGGACTTTCTCCACTCCTGGCTATCATTTCTTGGTGGTGGTGAGATCCTCTCTCTGCTCTGGAATTGGCTCTCTTTTAAGCCTAGCGGGATGGCAAAACTGACCAATCCCCTTGGTGGGCCACAATCCCACCTAATCACTTGAGTAGGAGTTACAAGGTCATGAAGAGAAAGGCCACACGAAAGTGATCCATTGCACCACAATACCGTATCTCATTTTGATATTTAAATTTATTTTTGCTTTCAATTTTTATTTCTAATAAACCCTAATGATGAGGTCTAACTTTTACTATGTATTACATAAATATCCCATATATTTTAAGTTCAAATGATGTGTTTTATACTCATTCACAAAAATTTTGGAGTACTGAATTAATCAAATAAAAGGTTTATTGATAACAATAAAACATACAGGAAACTCAAGGGAGAAGAAGGATGATGTCAGACCACTAGGCAAAGTTATCCACGTCCCTTGAGATCTCTCCTACTCTTCATAGTCAAATTTCTTAAAGGAATTGTCTTTACTTGCTGTCTTCATTTCTTCACCTCTCAACTCTTGTTGGTGGTCTTTGCTCAGGATTCCACCCTGTCAGAAACATGGAGACCTCATCTCACTTGGCCTTTCCACAGTACTGGGCACTGCTGACCACTTCTTGAAATTCTCTCTTCTGTTGGCTTTGGTGACTCCTCACGCTCCTCGACTTTTTCCTCTCATTCTGGCCTCTTTCTCAAGTGTCCTTTGCGGACTCATTCTCCTCCAGGTGGCCATCAAACCTTAGAGTTCCTTAAGGTTGGTTTTAGGACTGTTTTTCTTACTTGCTTCTCTGTTCCTAGGGCCCGTTCTCACAGCTTCAAATATCCATCCTAAAGTTTCAGGTATTTGTTATATGCTGAGGAGACCCAAGTTTATTTTGCTAGCTCTGATCTCTACTCCATACTGAATGCTTACTTCACTTCCACACGTAAAACCAAAACCCAAACCCGTTGCCGTCGAGTCAATTCCAACTCACAGCAACCCTATAGGACAGAGTAGAACTGCCCCACAGGGTTTCCAAAGAGTGCCTGGTGGATTGAACTGCCAACCCTGTGGTTAGTAGCCGTAGCTCTTAACCACTATGCCACCAGAGTTTCCACGCATGGCTGTTCCAAAGTCAGTTCAGCCTTAATATGTTTAAGGTAAAACTCATAATCCACCACTCCCCACCTGGTCTCTTCTGGTCTTCCCTATCTCATTGAAGACCATCACCAATTCTGGTACAATTGATAATTTCTTTTCCTTCACTCCATTATCTTAACCACTAACGTTAAAGTATCTCTTGAATCCATTCACTTTTCAGCATCTCTACTTCCACCACCTTAGTCCAAATTCATAGTGCTTCTTGCCTGGACTAATACAATAACTCATTAACAGTTATCCCTTCTGCACCGAGAAGGTTTTTACAAAACACAAATTCAATTACATTACCAGCCTAGTTTTAAAATCTTTCAACAGTTTTTTATTCTCAAGACAAAGATCAAAAGTCTTTTTCGTGGCTTGTAAGGCCCTGCAACTTCTGGCCCCTACTTTTCTCTTCAGTTTATTTTGAGCCAGTCTCTTTTGTTTTCTGTGCTCTTGCCACTTTGGACTTACATAAGTCCCTCAAATATACCAAACTCCCTCCCACTACAGGGCCTTTGCACGTGCAGTTTCCTCTTACTGGAAAGCTCTCCGTTATGCCCCACACTTATTCACTTACTTATATTCTACTCTTTTACTAGACTTCGAGTGCCATGAGAATTGGGTCTGTGCCTGTTTCTGCTTTTTATTTTATATCCAGATAAACAGTCTGGCCTTTAGTAGAAGTTCAATATTTGCTATGAATGTATATATGTACATGTTTATTTATTCATTCGTTTATTATTTATTTATTTATCTATTTATTGTTATTAGTTGCTGTTGAGTTGGCTCCCATTCATGGTGACTCTATGTACAACAGAACGAAATGTTGCTCAGTCCTGCGCCATCTTCATGATCACTGGCATGTTTGAGTCCATTGCTGTGGCTATTATATAGTGCCTTCTTTGACCTAGGGGGCTCACCTCTCAGCACTATATCAGACGATGTTCTGTTACGATCCATAGTGTTTTAATTGGCTTATTTTTGGAAGTAGATCACCAGGCCTTTCTTCCTAGTCTGTCTTAGTCTGAAAGCGCTACTGAAACGTGTACTCCGTGGGTGACCCTGCTGGTATTTGGAATACCAGTGGCATAGCTTCTATCATAGCAAGACACAAGCCACTACAGTACAACGAATTGGTGAATATATATATATAGTAAAATATATATATATTTATATGTAAAAAAATATATATTTGTCATACCTATTACCAAATTCTATTATTTTGTGTGCCTTTTAACTTCGTATCAAAATATAAAAATTTTGTGCTAAAGTCAAAATTTTGTTTGCCTTTTAAATATGTAATGTTGTTTAAAAGTTTTACACAGTTAATTATCAATCATTCCTTTATGGCGTCTTCTGTTAGCATCATGCTTAACCTCTCTCACTAGGAGAAAATACAAATTATTATCTATTTTTTATGATATAGCTCTTTATTAAAAAGAAATTAAATCTTTAACCATCTGGAGTTTATTTTAGGGCAAGGTGCCTGGTAGTGAAGTAAGGCTTTGCTCTTCATATAGTAGCCGCTTGTCCCAACAGACTTTATTGAATCTTCCATTGCTTCTCCAAAAACTTAAAATGCCACCTTTATAGTATATTTTAGGAATATGTCACACTGTTTTTATATCTAATTTTGATCCATTAAATCGGTTAATTTGGTGACATATTATTTTAATGATGATGGTTGTATAATGCATTTTGGTATGTGGCTACATCCGTTATCTCTTGCCACAATTATACTGTATAACAACTGCCCCAGAATGCAATGGCTTAAAACAGCCCTTGTTAACAGGGTTCCAGGGATAGTCGGGAGTCCCTAGGTGGCACAAACGGTTAAGTGGGTTTTCAGCTACTAACCAAACAGTTGGTGGTTTGAAACCAGAGGATCTCAGAAGAAAGGCCTGGCGTATCTGCTTCCTAAAGATCACAGCCATGAAAACCCTACGGAGCAAACAGTTCTACCCTGCGACACTGGGGTTGCCATGAGTCAGAATCGACTCCATGGCAACTGGTTTTCTTATCGATATTTAAGCCTGAATGCCCTAAGGCATTCATTACATGTAATGAATTAGCTATGTTCCATCTCAAGTGGATTGAGAAAATAGTCACTCAGATCATTCTTCTATAGGGCAGTTTTTCTGATTTTACCTGACCTCATTCTCATGTCTGGGGGTCTGCTGGGTGTTTGCTCGGGTAATGAAGGCAACAGGGCCATGTAGCTTTATCCTTTAGCAGGCTAGCCCAGACATATTCACGCGGTCGGCTAGGAGGGCAAAACAGGAAACAGAAATGAGCAAGCACTTTTTCAAGCTTCTGCTTGCAGCAAATTTGGTCACATCGCATTGGCCAAAGTAAGTGACATGATTGAACTCAAACGTGAGGGGCAGAAAAATATACTCCACCTTTTGATGGATGGAGCTGAAGAGTCACACTGCAAAACAGGTGGATACAGGGAGGAATGGAGAACTGGGGTCATGAATGCAGTTAATTTACCACCCTGATAGTCTCCCATTATTACTCTTAAAAAGTTTTTACTGGCTCTTCCTTCAAACTGTTCTATATTGGAATCATACTGTCAAGATAAAAAACTCCCATGGGGATTTGCATAGAGAGAAACTGTAAGTCAGCTGATGAGTGAACGGTAGCTGTCATCACCCACATTTTACAGACAGGAAATTGGAGGTGCAGATAGATTCAATAACTGTTGATTAGACAGCAAATAAGTAGTTGAACCTGAATTCGAACTCAAGTTTCCTGCTTCTGCCACTGCTCCACATTTGCTTCCTCTGACGATAGCTGTGAGGATCAAGCGTGAGAATGTCCACAAAAGCGTTTTGAACACTGTAAAGTAAGTTACGATCCTGATTTTGAAATGCCCTAAATTTCCATATTTCTGTAAACAGAGTTCATGAAGTTTTATAATTTGTGAAACAATCTCTTATTTCTCTCTCCTGTTTTATCCATTAGTTGTAAGGTAGAAAACATATGACTGACTGAAGGAGATTAAATAATCACAGTAGAAGGGTAAAAAACCAGTTGCTGTTGACTTCAACTCATGGCTACCCCAGGTGTGTCAGAGTAGAACTGTGCTCCATTGGGTTTTCAGAAGTAGATTGCTAAGCTTTTCTTACAAGAGGCCTCTGGGTGAACTCAAATCTCCAACATTTCAGTTAACAGCTGAGGTTGTTAGCTGCTTGCAATCACCCAGGGACTCCATTGAAGTGTAGTTGACAATTATTATGGAGGCACTAACTTTTTTAGCTCTATTGTGTTATAATCCATTCAATTTTCTGGCAATTTGGAAGAACAACTATTTATAAGGGGATTAGCTATGTCTTTAGGCTGCCAAAACTTTTCCTGGGGAGGCTTTGGTTGGGGGCAGAAATGATGTAAAGAAAATGAGGGTGGGTGGCAGGAGAGGGCGGCAGTGGTGCCTCGAATAGTGTCCGGTGCTGTCTTATTAGATTTTATTCTTTTGGAAAACTGTGCTTCACAGGTAAATTTTCTCTGCAGGATGCCAAATAATCATTTGAAATGTGAAAAATTTATGCAGACTCTGATTAAAGTGTTTGTTGCTAGAAATTCTGGAAGCAAGCAGAAGCAGAACATCAGCAACAAAATTGCTCAAAGTTAAGCTTGTTTTATTGTGGATATCTTCAATAATAGTCAAACCACTCTGTATGTGAAAACCTAGCCATATAACCAAGTGTCTTAATGTTTTGAGTGTGCCTGTCAACTTAAAGCATAAGTTGGTCTCATATGGAAATCGTTTTAGGTGGGAAGGAGAGGTTGCATTCTGGAAGCACCAGCCCCTGGGACTGCCTGGTGATCAAGCAAATAGGTTTGTATTGGGTAATTTACACCAGCTTGTGAATCAGGACCACATTAACTTCCCAAGAGTTTGTTAATCTCCTTGGTCATCAGGGGGATTGCCATGCCGCAACTCTGAGAACAGTAGAGTGTATACCTTAAAGGTCCTAGGAAGTATCTCTGAGAACCTACTGTTGATGAAGAATGCAACTCACTTAATTTATCTTCTTGGCTTAAACGGCAGGACTTCCTGCAGCAACACATGGAAACTTAACAATGTCCATTAAGAGCATGTGAAGAGAAAAACTGCATAAGAAGAGGGCTGAATATCTAGAGAGAGGAGACTGTAGGAAGCAATCTACTCACAGCATGAATTCAAAGATGGATGTAAGTATTAAAGATAATGTTAAAGTGTCTGGTCCACAATAGGCACTTCACACATATTAGCTATTAATATCATAACTGGGAAGCTGTTATTCTGGCATTATTCTGAATGGAAGAAGGCAGATGGACTAGGTTAGTGGTGTCCAAACCCAGCTGATCATGAGAAGGAGCTTTTTAAAATGATAGATTTCTCCAAGATCTAGCACTAGAAATTCTTATTTAATAGTTTTTCTTTTCTTTCTTATTTTTTAAGATAAAACTCTGCAGCTGATTCTGATGGTCAGTTAAGTTTGGAAACCATTAGATTAGGAGATTTTGCAAATTCCTTCTCAGTTGCACCATGCAGAGTTTAAATTTGGGATATTGGGGAAGATTCCTTTTTGACACTTACTACTTGAGCTCATGAAAATTTGCGTTTAACCAAAGTCAGCTGGTCTAATTGTACCTCCTCTCAAGGTAGTTTTAATAATCTGTAAACTCTTGAGACTGGAGGACTCCTGGAGACTATTGCCCTGAGATACCCTTCAAGCCTTGAACTGAAACTAACCCCTCAGGTCACCTTGTAGCTAAATAACAAATTGGCTCAAAAAATAATGAATACCACCTGTAAGTACTATGCGCCTTTAAAATATCACCTATATGAGACCAAACAATTACTTTAAAACAAAATAATTACTTTAAAGCAAAGATGAGAATGTAAGGAGGCAGGGAAACTAGATGAATGAAAATGGAACAACTAGAACAGAAATATTGAGAATGTTCACATATTATGAAGAATGTAACTAATGTCACTTAACAACTTGTGTAGAAACTGGTGAATGGGAACCTAAATGGCTATGTAAACCTTCACCCAAAATACAATAAAATATTATTATTTTTTTTTTAAAAAAAGATTTGTAAACTGGTTGAACACAACATTCTCATTTTTCTCTTAAGCCAGAATAAAACCAGAAATTGTTATGGATTAAATTGTGTCCCTCCAAAAAGATATGTTAAAGTCCTAACCCCTGGTACCTGTGAACGTGACCTTTTTTGGAATAGGCTCTTTCAAGATATTATTAGTTTACATGCACTCATGCCAAAAGAAAGTGGGCCCTAATCCTATCCAAGTGATGTCTTATAAAAGAGACACAAAGAGTTAGGAAGAAGATGCCAGGTGAAGATTTAGCTGCAGCCAAGGAATGCCAAGGATTTCCAGGAGCCACCAGAAGCTAGGAGAGAGGCATGTAACAGTTTCTTTCTCAGGGCCCTCAGAAGGAATCAACATAGCCAATACCCTAATTTGGATGTCTAGCTACCACTAGACATCTGTCAGTCAGTTTGCCAGTCAGTTTGTCGTACTGTGGTGGTGTGCATGTTGCTGTGATACTGAAAGCTTTGCCACCGGTATTCCACGTACCAGCAGGGTCACCCTTGGTGGACAGGTTTCAGTGGAGCTTCCAAACTAAGAAAGACTAGGAAGAAGGACCTGGCAGTCTACTTCTGAAAACATTGGCCAGTGAAAACCTTATGAATAGCAGGGGAACACTGACTAATAGAGTGCTGGAAGATGAGCCTCTTGGGTTGGAAGGCACTCAAAATACAACTGGGGAAGAGCTGGGTCCTCAAAGTAGAGTCTACTTTAATGATGTGGATGGAGTCAAGCTTTCAGGACCTTCATTTGCTGATGTGGCATGACTCAAAATGAGAAGAAAGAGCTCTACACATCCATTAATAATTGGAACATGGAATGTATGAAGTTTGAATCTAGAAAAATGGGAAGTCATCAGAAATGAAATGGAATGCATAATGATTGATATCCTAGGCATTAGTGAGCTGAAATGGACTGGTATTGGCCATTTTGAATCATCAGTCATATGGTCTACTATGCTGGGAACAACAAATTGAAGAGAAATGGTATCGCATTCATTATCAAAAAGAACATTTCAAGATCTGTCCTGAAGTACAACACTGTCAGTGATAGGATAATATCCATACACCTACAAGGAAAACCAGTTAATACAACTATTATTCAAACTTACACACCAACCACTGAGACCAAAGATGAAGAAATTGAAGATTTTTACCAACTTCTGCAGTCTGAAATTGATCAAACGTAATCAAGATACATTGTTAATTACTGATGATTGGAATGCAAAAGTTGGAAATGAAGAAGGATTGGTAGTTGGAAAATATGGCCTTGGTGATAGAAATGACATCAGAGATCTCATGATAGAATTTTGCAAGACCAACAACCTATTCAGTGGAAATACCTTTTTTCAACAACATAAATGGCAACTATACAAGTGGACCTCACTGGATAAAAAACACAGGAATCAAATCGACTACATCTGTGGAAAAAGAGATCATAGAAAAGCTCAATATCATCAGTCAGAACAAGGCCAGGAGCCGACTGTGGAACAGATCATCAATTGCTCATATGCAAGTTCAAGTTGAAGCTGAAGAAAATTAAAACAAATCTGCAAGAGCCAAAATACAACCTTGAAAAAATCCCACCTGGATTTGGAGACCATCTCAATAATAGATTTGACTCATTGAATACTAATGACTGAAGACCAGACAAGTTGTGGGAAGACATCAAGGACATCGTACATGAGAAAAGCAAGAGGTCATTAAAAAGACAGCAAAGAAAGAGAAGACCAAAATGGATGCCAGAAGAGACTCTGAAACTTGCTCTTGAACATAGAGTAACTAAAGTGGATGGATGAAATGATGAAGTAAAAGAGCTGGACAGAAGATTTCAAAGGGCAGCTTAAGAAGAAAAAGTAAAAGATTATAATGAAATGTGCAGAGATCTGGAGTTAGAAAACCAAATGGAAAGAACACGCTCGGAATTTCTCAAGCTGAAAGAACTGAAGAAGAAATTCAAGCCACAAGTTGCAATTTTGAAGGGTTCTATGGACAAAATATTGAATGACACAGGAAGCATCAAAAGAAGATGGAAGGAATACACACAGTCAATGTACAAAAAGAACTGATCAATGTTCAACCATTTCAAGAAGTATCTGATCAAGAACTGATGGTATTGAAGGAAGAAGTCTAAGCTGCACTGAAGGCATTGGTGAAAAACAAGGCTCCAGGAATTGACAGAATACCAGTTGAGATGTTTCGACAAACAGATGCAATGCTGGACGTGCTCTATTTGTCTATGTCAAGAAATTTGGAGGACAGCTACCTGGCCAACCGACTGGAAAATGTTTGTATTTGTGCCCATTCCAAAGAAAGGTGATCAAACAGAATGAGGAAATTATTGAACCATATCATTAATATCACATGCAAGCAAAATTTTGCTGAAAATCATTCAAAAGTGGTTGCAGCAGTACATCAACAGGGAACTGCCAGAAGTTCAAGCCAGATTCTGAAGAGGACATGGAACAAGGGATATCATTGCTGATGTCAGATGGATCTTGGCTGAAAGCAGAGAATACCAGTAAGATATTTACCTGTGTTTTATTGACTATGCAAAGACATTCAACTGTGTGGATCATAACAAATTATGGATAACATTCAGAAGAATGGGAATTCCAGAACACCTCAGTATGCTCATGTGGAACCTGTTCAAGACCAAGAGGCAGTTGTTCGAACAGAGCAAGGGAATGTTGCATGGTTTAAAATCAAGAAAGATGTCCATCAGTGTTGCATCTTTCATCATATTATTCCATCTGTATGCTGAGCAAATAATCCAAGAACTGGACTATATAAAGAAGAATGTGGCATCAGGATTGGTGGAAGACTCATTAACAACCTGTGATACGCAGATGACACAACCCTGCTTGCTGAAAGTGAAGAGGACTTGAAGCATTTACTGACGAAGATGAGACTACAACCTTCAGTATGGATTACACCTCAACATAAAGAAAACAAGAATCTTCGCAACTGGACCAATAAGCAACATCATGATAAATGGAGAAAAGATAGAAGTTATCAAGGATTTCATTTTACTTGGATCCACAATCAATGCCCATGGAAACAGCAGTTAAGAAATCAAATGACATATTATGTTGGGCAAATCTGCTGCAAAAGACTTCTTTAAAGTGCTCAAAAGCAAAGATTTCACTTTGAGAAGTAAGTTGTCCCTGACCCAAGCCATGATATTTTCAATCGACTCATATGCATGTGAAAGCTGGACAATGAATAAGGAAGACCAGAGAAGAATTGATGCCTTTGAATTATGGTGTTGGCAAAGAATGTAGAATATACCATGGACTGCCAGAAGAACAAACAAGTATGAAAGAAACACAACCAGAGTGCTCCTTGGAAGCAAGGATGGCGAGACTTCGTCTTACGTACTTTGGACATATTATCAGAAGGGACCAGTCCCTGGAGAAGGGCATCATCTTTGGTTAAGTAGAGGTTCAACAAAAAAGAGGAAGGCTGTCAACAAGATGGATTGATACAGTTGCTCAACAATGAGCTCAAACCTAACAAAGATTGTGATGTTGGTGCAGGACTGGGCAGTGTTTCGTTCTGCTGTACATAGGGTCGCTATGAGTCGGAAGCAACTCAACAGTACCTGACAAAAACAACAGCAAACCTCCAGAACAGTGTGACAATAAAGTTTTGTTCTTCAAAGCCACCTACTTTGTGGTACTTTGTTATGGCAGCCCTAGAAAAGTAAGACAGAAATTTACAGTCTTTAGAGCCGTCATTCCAAGGTGCCTGTGATAATGTTGAAGCTGGTTATTCTTGGTGCCAGTTAGCTTTAATAGGTTTCAGCTATTCTCCTATAGTTATTCCAATGCTTCAAGGAATTGAAGACCTAGGAAACCTAAGGATATACCTCAGCCCGTAGCCCCTTATCCAAATTCTCACATTTTCATTCCCAAGTTTTGTCTTATGGTATGGACAGGAATAAGGGAATATCAAACAAAGTATCTGTTGTCATTTTTTTTTTCCTGCTGCCACATGCAATGGGTTATGCTCATATACGTGACATATTCCCCAAGGTGTACATGCTGTAACCACATGCATATTCCTCCTCAACAAGAAAGCCTTTCAGAATGCAGATGACTGAGAATAACTCATTAGTGTGTATGTATATATACAACCATTACATATTTAATATATGTGTGTATCGATATATCCACTGGAAAAAATTAAACAATTATTTGTAAGTGATTACTTGCCACATGTCTCCTAGCTAAAAGAGATCCACATTTGTGTCTGGACATGATGGATGAGAGTTGTCGATGTAGTGACTTCTGATGCCCAAGAAAGGTACCCATGTTAAGTTAGCTATCCTATGTCTGTAGAAAGTAGAACTACAGGAGTCCTCTTTGCTCTAGGACTTAAAAAAAAAAAATTATTAATTTATTTTTATTTTTTTGCTCTCACACTTTTTGTTACCTTGCTTCTGCTCTACTTTGGGTTGCCTCCACGGGCAGCCTCTTTCGAGGACATTCTTCCATTATCCTACCAGAGTAAGAGAGGGTTGAAGAAGACTTGTGGTTTTTGAGGAAGTTGGGATATTTAGCACATGATGATTTAGGAAACATAAAATTTTCTAAGTATACAGTTGCCAGGAACTTGAACTGAAATGAACCAGAAATCCAAACCTGGGGCTGGCTAACTGACTTCAATTTCTGAAACAATAAATTAATTGGTTAACCACAAACCAATGGAGAAATGTTTCAGTTGCACTCAACCTATTCAAACCAGAACCATCCCTGAGTATTTTTTTCTAAAACGACAGAACCAGAACATTAAAATATTTTCAAATCAAAACTAAACAGAAATTAAATTTGGTTTGAGCTCCTGACATCTATTTTTATACTTGAGATGCTTTTGATAACATTCTACATGCTTAGTATTGATGCTGATTTCATATATGGTAGAATCTTGTCTTTGAAGATCTTAGAAATGTTGTCAGTGTTTATAAATCATTGTAAGTATGTTATCTTTACAGTACAGATCAAAAAACGAGCCATAGACTAGATTTACTGATGGTTCACTGAAGGTCTGAAGAAGAGGTAGATAATATCTGGGCGACCACTTTAGATGTTGGTTGCATTGGTCATTGAACAAAATCTTCAATACTTTATAAAGTTTCTTCTGTAGTATTCATAAGGAAGGAAACAATAGATCCATCTTCTTGTTTATATAGTACCTGCTATCTTGTACTACTGGTTGGAGCACTGGTGGCGTAGTGGTTAAGAGCTTGGCTGCTAACTAAAAAGTCAGTAGTTCGAATCTACCTCCTTGGAAACCTTATGGGGCAGTTCTACTCTGTGCTACAAGGTCACTATGAGTCGGAATTGACTTGATGGCAATGGGTTTGGTTTTTTGGTAACTTGTACTACTAATGAGTAAGTGCTAAAATTATTTAAATGTATTAATAAACATAATTCTTTGGAGCTGAGTTACAAAAAGTTACCATTACGTTTAAAAAACTCCACAATGGCTGGAGGACCTAATGTCCACTTTAGTTGGGGTGATTAGAAGATGAGGAATTCAGAGACATTTACTTGGTTTCTCTGGTATGATTTTTTTTGGATGTGCAAGAACATGCGTGTGTGTGCACGTGTGTTTGAATTCTTTGAAGACTATAGAGTACCAGTTGATTAATTGGAACTTCCGTGACTTGAAGAGATCTGTCTCTTTTTTAAACTATGAAATGTTTAAAATATTCAGATAAATATACAGAATAATACAGTACTCATGTACCTTTCACTTCCGTCAATCAACATTTTGCTACATTTTCTTTAGACCTTATTTCTCCCCTCTTTCTCTATATTTTCCACCTTCTCTTTCCTCTTTCTCTTTTGCCTTCCTTCTCTTTTTTTAACTTCTTAAGGAATAAAACATTATTAATGGAGTGGAAGCCCCTGTACACCCCTTGTAAATCGCATTCCTTCCTCTTTCTAGAGGTAAAGACTCCCAAATTTAGTATTTTGCATTTCCATGTATGTTTTCAAACTTTATATAATTGCAATCATACTGTACACATTTTCTGCATGTCTCTATTTTATGTGTGGATCAAACTGTGTGCACTATTTTGCTGCATTTCATGTTTTTTTGAGATTACTCTGTTGGTAAAGTAGCATGATGTAATTCATTTTACCTGTTTTATAGCATTCCTCTTTATTGACCAGTTCTTTTTTTCATGATCATTTAAATTATCTTTTTCACATTTCATTTTCACAAATCATATGAAAATAAACATTCTTGTACATGTCTTATCGTGCATATGTGTGACTGTTCTCTGAGATCCAGGAGTATTATAGGTAGGAAGAAGCCCTGGTGTCAAAAACAGTTAAGCGCTCAGCTGCTAACTGAAAGGTTAGTGGCTCAAACCTACCCAACAGCTCTGTGGAAGAAAGACCTGGCGATCTGCTTCCATAAAGATTACAGCCAAGAAAACCCTATGGGGCAGTTCTACTCTGTCACGTGGGGTGGTTATGAGTTGAAATTGATTTGACCGTACCCACAACAACAACACAACGTTATGGAGTGCTTGCATCTTCTGATTTTATTGGATGTTGCTAAATTGTTTTGCAAAATCATTGTAACATCTGTGTATAGGGCTTCCTATTGATCCACATAGTTGCCAACCTTTGGTATTGCTAGATATTTAAATTTTAGAAATACGATGGGTTTCAAATTGTATCTAATTTCAATTTGCTTTTCTGTGGTAACTACTCTTTTCATGTTTATTGGACATTTTGATTTCCTCTCTGTGAACTCATTGGGTTGAATGTCTTTTTCTTACTGATATTTCAAAGTTCTTTATATATATTCTGATATTTTTCAAATGCCTTTTTTTTTCTTTAGGTATTTGAAGTACAACATTACTCTGGTTCTAAATGAAAAGGGGCGGGAATGACAAGAACAAACAAGATGTCACCATTGAATATTGTGATGTGACTGTAGCAGTCTTATATCTGAAACTCAAGAAGAAAACAACTGCATTCCAAAACAGCTATATATGCAAGTCTAAAAAATAAAGGTTTTTTTTTTAACTGCCACATTGACTCCAAAGTCCATTCATCTCCTTCAACATCCCAAAGATTATCATATAGCTAAAGTGGCAAACATGTTGCACCAGGGACATCAGAGGACCAGTTGATTCCGACTCATAGTGACCCTTATAGGACAGAGTAGAACTGCCCCATAGGGTTTCCAAGGAGTGGCTGGTGGATTCAAACTGCAGTCCTTTTTGGTTAGCAGGCGTACTCTTAACCACTGTACCACCAGGGCTCCCATCAGAGGATGGTTGCTTGTAAAACTAGACTTCTGACATGTGTTTGGTGTCTGGTTGAACAGAGTTGGTGGAGTCGATATGTCCTGAAGTAGCCATGCCTGGAAATAGTCTAAGTCCAAGTCCTCAGGAAGTCCAAGGGTCGAATCAGTGAAACCAAGACCAGTCAGAGATCAGACTCAATGACCAGGGCCACCAACTAGAGACCAAGCCAACGTTTAGAAACCAGGTGCAATGACATCATTATCCTCATTGCCTGGGTGAGCAAACTGCCGTTCAGAACACTTACGCGCCGTCTCAGTCAGAAAACAGAGGAAAGTGGTGGTGGTTGTCATACTTCTCTACTTAAACTAATCTGCAGGCTCCGCAGAGTCCGTGGAACAAACCAAACTGATTACCTTGGCACACAAGGACTGCTTTCATCTCCTGGTCTTCTGGAGCACATTTGTCCTTCCTACAGCTAACTTGCCCAGAGTTCCTTGGATAGGCCCAGACTTTTCCTTATTCATCCTCCTCTGTGAATTTCACTGATTGCCCCAAGCCGTGTAAATGCCCATGTCTTCTTCCATTTCTTTGTTTTTAATGGCACTTAACTTTTTATATTGTATTTTGTCTCTTCAAGTAGACTATGAACTTGCCTAGGCCAAGAATCATAAACCAGTTAGCTTTTGTGTCTAACACAGTGTATACAGCACTGACTAGTGCTTAGTGGATACTCAGTAGTATTTGCTAAGTGATAAATGGATGAATGAATGAAGTGGTCTTTTATCCTATGCTTTGACACCTGAATGTAGGAAATTATCTCCTGGAGCAGTACATTTCAACTGGACAATGAAGTGCTTGAAAATTCTTCCTGAGATTAACCACAATCTCCTCATCGCCTCCATTATCTTTGGAACCAATTCCGTTCCCTCTTAAACTCCAAAATCCTCAATATCTTGAACTATATCTAGATGTTAAGTGTTTTTCTGAAAATGATGGCTAATTTAGACTAGAACTTGATTTTCATGCACATAGTAATCTATTGTGGTTTTAACATTTGTTGGGAAATGAATATTTTTCATTGATCTAGGCCTTTTTTGCCTTTTATTTATTTGAAAAATAGTACAGTCATATGCCACATAATGTCTGTTCAGGCAATGTCTGGCCGTATATACGCCCGTGCTCCTGTAAGGTTATAATAGAGTTCAGAAATCCCGATCAGAGAACGGGGCATAGGAGACATAACTGGATTTAGGGAATGCAACAGCTTCCAGCACGCAACACGTGTATCTCATGTCTCTTGTGTACAAAGTGATTGTGCTGCCAGGTACATAGTGGTACAGTATATATATAACCTGTAACACATATGTCTTGATAGTCATAACACCTATGTTACTGGCTTATGTCTATACTGTACTGTACTTTCTATTGTTATTTTAATGTGGACTTTCCCTACTTACAAATAAAAGTTCATCGTATAACAGTGTATACTTCCGCTCACAGGCAGCAGCATCCAATCTCGTGTATCGCGTGTCTCTTGAGTGTTGTAGCATTATCTCTCTGTTTAATTTCCTTCTGAAAACGTTACCGTAAAGTGCATCATGGCTCCCAAACACGGCAAAACCTGTGCTAGTGATAGCGGCAGCAAGGGGCAAAGGAGAAGTATCAGTTTGGAAGTGAAACGAAAGGTTATTAAATAACACAACAGTGGGAAATCAGTGAATGCTATTGTTTGTGATTTAGGCGTGTTCACACAGCGTCCACATCACATAACATCCTATTTCACAGAATGTATCATGGACATGAAATGATGCATGACTGTAGTCTTGTTAATGGAATCAAACAGACTTAAAACTCATCTTCTGGTTTCATAACCTAATAAAAACAGATAGATTTTCATGAATGCTTATTTTTCTGTGCCAAATCCTTTACATATCTTACTTTGTAATTCTTACTACGACCAATGCAGGCATTTTTATTCCTTTCTTACAGGATTCCTTCTTTTAAGGCTCAGAGATGGTAAGTGGTTTGTTCAAGGTTACACAGCCTATAAATGGAAGAGGAAGTTTTAAGCCCAACTCTTTTTTGATTCATTGTCCAAAGTATTAACCACCATGATGTAGATCTTTGACTTCAGGCATTGCCTGATTGTTATCTGTTAATTCCCATATTTTTCTCTATTGTGATGAAATTAGCTAAGGACCAAGCTGATTACTTTTATGCTTTGCAGACACCATACAGAATTGATTTTTTTCATTGTATTTCCTCTTCAGAGAGCAAGAACCATACTTTTATAACTGAGTGAGAGAAAACCAGGCAATGGGCCAGTCTCTCCCCGCCTTCCTCCCTCGCTCCCTTCTTTCCTTCTTTCCCCTCTGTCCTTCCCTCCCTCCTTCCATTCCTTCCTTCCCCCCTCCCTCCTTCTTTCCCTCCTTCCTTCCTCTGCAAGTTAGGCAACTTGAGCATCACAAGCCCCAGCACAGCTTTTTGCTCTGAGTAGTGTCTCAGGTTCCTTTTCTAAACTGAAGTAAGACTAATGCAGCAAAGAAGAAGAAAACAAAAACAAAAACAAAAACAAAAAAAAAAGAAAGAGAAAGAAAAGACGAACCAGCAAGTGAACAAAACCTACAAAACTGAACCTGCCTCTGCTTTGCTTTAACATCTGCTCTGAAATGAACCTCTTATTCCCATTAGTGGATTGTTTTAAAACATATTCCCAAGGAGATGAATTTGATTCTTTATTTCTCCAGGTTTCTTTGGCCTCCTATGACTTTAACTGCAGGCTTACATTTTCTGAAGTACGTCTGCAGTGAAGCCAGGCAGAGCGCATTAACAGACCTAGCATGCCAAGGCTAAGTAACCCAGTAAAAGTATTCTTGTTGTGCAGTGCATGCATTCATAGGACCATTTTAGTTATAGCTGTAATTAGTTCTGATTCAAGTATTCCACAGAGAATGAGCTTTCTAGATTGAAAGTGGTCAGATGTAGGTTGGCAGTGGGGATGTAGGATGCAGATGGCAGACAGAGCCTGAAGGAGAGATGAGAGATGTTTCTATATGCTTCAATTTGTGGCATTCCTGATTTTTATATGGACATTAAACTTGGTCAAGCTGAAGTGCCATTTGTTCTAAGAGAGGATAATGTACACTTATCCCTATGCATTCTAAAAAAATAGACTGAAGCTGGAAGTGGCTGCCTATGAGACAGCATATAGTGACATCTACATTACAGAGTGCATAAAATGCAGGGCTTACAAATAGGGAGAGACAGGTATGTTTCTCTGTGCAGTCCTAGGTAAAAGTATTTGGGTCCTTGACTAATGATGCATGATCATAGATCTTAGGTCTGGAAGAGACTAGAGAGAGCACGTCTTAGTGGTTACCAGGGGCAGGAGGGTGGGAGAAAGAGGACCCATTGTTTAGGAAGAATTAAAAAAAAAAGAAAGCCCACTGCCGATGAATCGATTCCGACTCATAGCGACCCTGTAGGATAGAGTAGAACTGCCCCATAGGGCTTCCAAGGAGTGGCTGGTGGAGTCAAACTGCCTACCTTTTAGTTAGCAGCCATAGGTCTTAACCACTGCAAATCACTAAGGTTCTGTTTATGGTGGTTGGAATTTGTCAACAGATATTGATGATGGTTGCAGAACATGATTGACGTCATTGATGTCACTAAATTTTACATGTGAAAACGTTAAATTGGCAAGTGTGTTATTGATATTTTTACAACAGTAATAAAAAGGATCATGTAGTCTTTAAGCTGCAGGTATGAACATTTTTATCGATGAGTCAGCAGAATATTTACTATGGGCTAAGAACTATATTAGGCATTAAGAAAGAGAAGATAAATACTACGCAGTCCTCTTTTCTCGCAGGAGTTCACAGTTGGTGGAAGACATAGAAATCTAAATAGCTTTTTCTAAACTACGATAAATGGCATTTCACGTTATGTATTTTATCAGTTTATAGGGCACTCCTGCTGCCTGAGGCAGTGTTCTGGAAGGTTAGGAAAGGTGGCAGAGAGGGGATATCTCTGGAGCTGATACTTGGAGGATGCCAGGAAATCTCCAGGCCAGTGGGGTGCATGGTGTGGATGGTATTCTAAGCAGATTGTTTGCAAAGACTTGGTGGTGTCAAAGAACACATCTCATTTAGGGAATTAAGAAATTCAATAAGGCTAGAGCTTGTGAGGGAGCTAATAGGAGTTGAGACTGAAAAAGTTTGGAAGAAACAAGATCATGAAGGCATTTTCTATTAAATTAGGGAGTTTGGACTATATTATATGTGGAGCATGGGGAATTATTTGGGATTTTAAAGAGAAGAGTGACATTCAGATTTGTCACTTTCTGGTAAAAGTGAGAAAGGTAGATTGTTAAGTGTAGAGAATAACATTAGGGAGAATATAAGGGGAGATATGAATTAAAGCAGTGGAATAGAAGAGAGAAGAGTGTTTTGGGGATATTAAGGAGTAGAATTATAGTATTAAAAGGGATATGGAGGAGCTCTAGTGGTGCAACAATTAAGTGCTCAGCTGCTAACCCAAAGGTTGACCATTTGAACTCACCCAGTGGCTCTGCAAGAGAAAGACCTGGTGATCTACTCCTGTACAGATTATAGCCAAAAAACCCTATGGGACAGTTCCACTCTGTCACATAGGGTTGCCATAAGTTGGACATCAACTCATTGGCACCTAACAACAAGGTGTAAGGGAATGGAAAAATTAAGGAAGACGCCAAGTTTA